CTTAGAGGGACAAGAATGGTAGGATATTCTTAGAAGCGATGGTTTCTATCTCCTTAGGATACAGTGTATAATAAGTAAGAAAAAAAATACGATCTTTATTAGAGTAACAGAATTAATTCCATTACAATAGAATTAGAAAGTCTATCTATATATTGTCATACAAATACTACAACATGGAAATAAATTCAGTTTTCACCAATGTAGGTGCTGCTAGAAGTCGAGCTTAAAATATCGATTCTATATCCGTAGCAAAACATTGTATTTATGAAAAACAAAGGATGCGCTAGTTGATAATAATACGCCAATTTAAAGTTTTAAAATATATTATAAATGATTGTCAAGTTGAGTGCCTTCTTAGATAACCTTGAAATGCAATGCGTACAGAATTAATCAAATACAAATCCAAGAGTCTAATAACTCCTAATGACATCTACGTAGTATAATATAAACAGTAAGTATAATAATAATAACAATAAACATTTCAGTGACCAAGGACAATTCAGCAACATCTAGCTAATGACGCTTGTGGTACTGGATAACTGACAGAAATACTTTTTTGGAAATATAGTACATAAACACATAGAAAACACTCATACCAATATGAGGATTGGTATAAGTGTTTTCTCAGAGGGAGAATTATGAATGAGTGTGAGCACTCATTCATACTTCTGAATACAAATGTTTAAACCGTGCGAGGAATCGAACCCCTAATCATAGGAAAACAAAGCGGTGTGCAAAATCGCTAGATCACTAAGTCCGTCAATTAAGTACCTACTAGATACATAATTGATACTAGATAACGCAAAATATCTTATAAATTAGACATAGGAACGTTCGTAGTAACTTCATTTGAAGCTCTCAATGATTTAAAAAAGTCTTAGTCGAAAAGCCGTAAAAGTCATTCACTTTAATATTTTAATAATACTCTTGAATTCCACACTGAGAACTAAACTAATTTATCTACTGAAAACTTAATTGGAACATTTCCTTATTAGTAAAGTTTTATCTAACCGGATACACGATAATTAATTAACCAATATTATCGTAGTGCCTATTTTACCTGTTCAGATTTAAACATATCAATAATTAATAGCATTAATTAAATAAAAACAATTAAAACATGAACGATTATTACCTGTTAATGTATTTACTACATATATACGTGTATTGTATGTAGATCAAATTAATTCCATGGCTCAAGAATGATCTCTTTAATGACCGTATCAGAATTAAGTGAATGGGATAATTATTAAAATGAAGTGAACTGAATTCATTTCTCCGCTGTGTTAGAAATGTTCTGTGGTAATTTCACTTCTCTACGCAACGTGTTAAATTTTATGTAATTTAATAATTACATTGTTACTATACAAAACATATTTTAAAGCATAATGTTTGAAAAATAAACGTAAACTTTCACTATATTACAATCGAATTATTACACCGTAGGTACAAAATAAATAAGAACATATGCTATATATATATGTATTAGATACAGCGCCATCTAGTGTAAATCTATAAATTCTAAATCACGATCCTAATAATTATATTTGGAGAAGTTGACCAGTTTATGTGGCTACGTTAATAATTATTTACATTTATGTTAATGTTTCAAGCCAGGAAAAGAAGGGACGGTGCTATCTAAATACCGTAATGGTACCTTACCTTGTACCATTCATAATTATGATACCACTTATATAATATACATTAACAAATTACCTATTTAATATGATCAAGATGTTATAAATATCCACATAACTTAAGCCGTAATATTGTTAATTGGATAGTAAAGTGGGGGAGTATGAGTTGAACATAAGCAAGTTACTCCGTCGGTCCGTCCGTCCCTCAAACAAACAGTTTGTCATGCCATGCTTGCTTAAGTACATAATGAGTAATGTTCTTCATCCTAATAATTAGACTAATTGTTGAAATTAAATATTTGATGAAAAAATAATCACTGGAATCCTCAGACCAATTTCACTAACTTTTATGAAGCGTTCAATAAAATAGGCATTCAAAAGTTATTTTAATTATTAAATTTTAATAAAAAAATGTAAAGATCAGTTTGACAGAAGTGTTGTCACGTGATTTCATATGTACTTAGTCTTAATGCGAAGTCGGGCGGAGCTCTAGATACACAGAAAGCTACGTACCAACGTACCTTTCTGTTTATCTAGAGACCTTAACCTCTGGTTGTGATCAACCACGTGAAATATAATGTAAAAAATACGCAAAAACACGTATTTTTCACATCACAAAGCGAAGACACAGACCGTTCTTGATATTTATAATAACTCATAGAGTATAATGCAAGATACAGGTTGTATGAGGTCTCTAGAAGAGATGGATTTAGATTTATTCCGAACTTTTTGATTTGGTGGTTGAATAGAATAGAAAATCATTTATTCAAATAAACTTACATTGAAGCACTTTTGAATAGTCATCACATCACATGAAGTTGAAGGCAGTAACTAGGTAATTTTCCATAAAGAACTAGATGAGCGTAAGGATACAAAAGAACTTTAAAATTAACTTTAATAGAATTTCTAAACTCTAACCATATTTTAAGATAAATAACCTATTTTAGGTTGACCTCCACGCGGTTCCCCTTGGATACCATCGTGATGAATTCTTTGTGAACTTGGGCTAACTGACCTGAGTTCATGCTCATTTTATCATCCTCCACTGGTGCCCCGCCAGCTTAAACCGTTAGCGCAGGCGGATGCATCATTGCATCATCCATTAGAAAAAAAGTAGATCCAATGGCCATTGGTAAAGACCACTGTTTAAGTAATTAAACATTGTCACGTTGTAATATGCAATATTTTGTATATATAATACTTATATTTGACTAGTTTCGTGCGTGAGGAGCGCGTTAGCTACACGATTTCGTGTCGTGACATTTAAACGTTTTGCGTGCAATAATTTTATTTCAGGTGGGGTGAACGACCGCTGGGTAATAGTCGACTAAAGACAGCATACTTACTCGTCCATACCATAGACAAGTAGATTTCAAACAACATAAATATCGCATCTCGACTCAAATAGTGCCATGTGTCATAAAATAAGTTATTGCTATTCCTTGAGGAAGAGTACAAAACAAAGTAAACATATTTTATTGCACTTTTCTCTTTTAGCTGAAATAGTATTCTATGTGATGTCGTTCAATAAAATCGTTTTGTTATAATTATATTCCAAAACCCGAAAAGAAAATGTAAATTAGTATAATTTAGTATTGCTTTTCTCAAGTAGGCCGTTTTAGTTGCGACATTATTTGAGAAAAGGTGCAATTATGTTGTAATATATGTATCAGTAGTAACCGTACTGTACTTTTTACGTAGGTACTTAATATTGACATAACTGTAATATCAAAAATACTAAAGGCCCACCTGATGGTGAATGGCAATTGTCACCTCTATATATAATCAGCACTATGTACACAACATTATTATGTAATGCACATGGAACTCCTCATGTATCAATATTCTGGAGGACTAAGATGGTTGGCCTCCATATCCTGTACTTTCAATTCCATACCTTTACCATACATTATGTGAGTTCTAGGTGGTCTTTGTAACTTAGAACTTAAGTAAGTATATATCTCCCATGTAAACTTACAAGAATCTTAAAGTACAATAAGATTTTTTATTACACTACAAACTATTTTTTTTTTTGTATTGTAATATCTAGATGGAATCTGTCCTTGAAACCATCTATCTAGATATTTTCAAACCACTATTGTAAACTATTTTGTATATTATACCATAGACACATTGCACTGGCATTGTTATTATAACATCCAACAACCAGAGTCAGAGATAATTTAGTATTTATGAATAACTAATGGCATTGCAATGCCTTGCCATGACTTTGTCGGAGTGCTTATAACTTTGTGAGATTCATTCATTGGAATTAAAATAATACAGCCTGTCACTCTGAAAGTAATATACCATTAATAAATAGTTTTTTTTTCATATGATATCATTCTTTATGATATCAGACATATAATAAAAATTATGCTCCATTATTAATTAATGCCTTTAATTGGGTGGTTAATTGTTTAATTAGATGGTCCTGAATTTTATTCTGCACATAACAAAGGTCTATAATCTAGGTTTTCTCTTTATAATATTAGTAAGTTTAGATAATGAAAATCATGCTGCATTTAAATCAGTATTAATTAATTAATTAATCTCCTGTATGAGTACATCCCAATTATTATATATGTAGTACATCGTAGGTATACTAAGTATTTGTGCAACAAAGAATTAAATCCTGATACTTCTATTAAAACATTTCCTGTTATGAAAATTTGTCACTTAAGATTATCCATTATTCATTAAGTGATTACTTAAGTGACAAATGTGTATTCCGCTAGTCATGTACACAATTGAAATGTACATCCAAATAAGTAAATCATTATGTTAATAGGTTGAAATTATAAACAGAAACAGTTATTGCTTGCCAATTCTGCTCAATGGGTAATATTATTTGTACACTTTTAGTTATTACCAGTTACTTACAGAAGATAATTTTGAAATTATACTAATTATGCACTCTAATATTATTAGATATTATATTTAAGTAGTGAGTCTTTATTTTTATAGTTTATTAGTTCAAATGATGCTATAGGCATCTACTATAAGTTACTACCCACTCAAGAATTTCATCACTATTAGTCAAGTTAATGTTTACACAACAGTACTTTTTAGATTGCCAGCAGATGATATCATTGTAATTAATTTCATCTATAACATAACCAATACAACAAAACAGTTATTCTCTAATATAATATTATTTTCTATATCATTCGAATAAGTACATATCATTATAAGTATTACAATATATACTTACACTCAATAACCAGAAAAGCAGTGATCGTGAACTAAATCTCAGTCATATTTTCACATGAATGATCGCTAGTACACAGAGAGAATAACTCAGATGTTGTGATTAAATATTATAATTATTTATGTAAAGCTACTGCTTAAATAATTACTTACCTTAGATTTTGTTTGTTTTAAGTGAAAATGTGAGAGAAAACACAGAACAGATACAATTCATAAACAAAACAGTACACAATCACACATTATTACTGACCGCAGGACGAACTTGCGGGCAATGCTCACTACTGGTTTATTGTTGATTTAACGCAACATTCGCTATGGTAGGGTGGGCGGGATTAGGGCTTTGGGAGAAGTCGAAAGCCCGAACAGGAGAGAATGAACGAATGACAGCGGAAGTACACCGAGTACATGAAGTAACGGACGCTTGTCAGAATTGACATTTGTCAAATTGTCAGAAACAAAATTCCGGTTTACTTTTGCCGTTATAGGCTGGTGCGAATGACGTACATGCATTAAGAAAATGTAGACAATTTACGAGAATTCACTATATATAACTGTGAGAAAATAATGATTATATTTATTTCATTGCATTTAACTATACCAGTGTCCATATATATAGTTTTTGGATGAATATACTAACAGAACTTCAACTGTCATCTGTAGAGTAATGTAACGCATGCAGTATAGACAGTAGTAGACACTGTCGATGGCCACTCCCTACCTCACATATTTCTTTGATGACAACACTGAACGCATTGGTCATGCATTCATTCTAGCGACATGTTTTGATTATTGTGTATGTACCAATTTTATAAGAAATACACCTTTTTTTTCAAATAAGATTATATTCCACATACAGACAACTATATATATTTAGAAGTAGTATGAAAGTGATTTAGTAAATTTTACAACCTTTTCAATGTTACACTGAAAAAGATTACATTTTTAACGCTTAACGACATCTCTTATCTAATAGCAGCGACAGCAATTAGATCTAAATTTAATAATAATATCATAAAAAGAGATAAGTTGTACTTAATACGTAATTTTTAGAATGACATTTTTATATAATATTAAATATAATTAGCAAATCCGACATTTTTTTAATTCCACCTGTTGCAGACAAAATTTCTATTCCAGCATATCAAACAAAATTATTTTGTGCTGCTTTAAATTATTTACTACTAAACATTTAATATGTAATTGATTCCGATATCGTATGTTTGTTAACTAATTTGTTAAATTTTGTTATACTCTCACAAAATTTATTAGCGACATCTGGTGTCGAAAGGCAATTTCACTCATACTCTTTTTACATGGCCTAGCATTGTTTTTGTATAACGGTTATAGATGGCGTAATAAGATTTTCGATTGGTGATTGTTGAGGACAGATGGCACTACTTGTATCAAAATGAAGTTATTAACTTTGGTTATTTTTAAGTAGACTTTTGAAAAATGGTTACTAACTTTTCTAAAATGTTGATAATGTGCACGTGATACCTCTGATATTTAAGAGTATCTTTCTATCTTTATTAACTATACTGAATAATAAAAACATTTGCTAACCATTCCAATCTGAAACCGATAACCTGTCCGATAGACTGTATAGACTAGTAAAGTGATGATCATGAGCAACCCGTTTAGTCGAGGACTGCGTTTTTCTATTCACAGTCGCGACTAGACAACCTGTAATTTTTCAGAACTCGCTCATTATCATTTCAGTGAATTAATCGGTGCAGTTCCCAAACTGCGATTGAAGAATGAGATGAAAATAAAAGTTAGGTTCATTGAAATCAAAGTAGTTATGACTTTATTCATTACTAGCTACTCGCCCCGGCTTCGCCCGGGTGTACATGTATTATACATATAAACTTTCCTTTTCAATCACTCTATCTATTAAAGAAAACCGCTTCAAAATCCGTTGCGTAGTTTTAAGGATTTAAGCATATATAGTGACAGACAGACAGCGACAGCGACTTTGTTTTATACTATGTACCTAATGATGATGATGATGTATATGATTAAAATTAAAATGATTAAATTTATTATATGATTCATAATAATAATAATCTCAGGACAATTCACACAGCGCCATCTAGATATATATATTTTTTATAAATATATACATATTATACATAGAAAATATCCAGACCGATATAAACAATCATACTCATGAATACAAATGTTTGTGTTGTACGAGGTATCGTACCCGCGACCATCGGCCGTAAAGGGGTGTGCTAAACCGCTAGACCACCGAGGTCGTCGATAGTACCTGGTTATGAATTCCTAGCCACAGTGCTTACTTATATTTAATGTATATGGTTTTAAATATAATATACACTATAAACAATTAAATTGTCTTAAAAAATATGATAGGTACGCACCAATAAGCGTAATATATCGCTATATGAGTGTAGATAATATACATAATTATTTAAGCTAATATGGTGTACAATGTTGTGTTAGCTAATTTAAAAAAATATTATAACGTTTTCGTAATACTTAATATCTTTATTAATATTATTATTTCTATATACTGTTTTATTTGTTTATTAAACGAAACACCCATTTTACTATATTTACATTTAATTGACACTTCAACTTTATAAGAACAGTAGATAATATAATAAAATACAATATTAATTGATATTCTTTTTTCAGTGTTACACCTTAATGAGGTTTTGAGGTTATTTATTAATTACAGTTTACCAATTTAGACTGTAAAAAGTCGTCTAAGTGAGTAACTCAGTCTCAAACAGTTTTTTATGAAGCTGTATTTCGGTTAGATGGTGAAACAAAACAATCTCAACTTAGTTCTTCGAAATTGTGTAATGCTTGAGCTGTATCGCGGGCGCCATATTATCCATTGTCCTGTTCGTGAATATAGATGACCGTTACCACATACCATCAGTTGGATCGTCAGCTTTCTTTGACATTCCAATTAAAGTAAAAAAAAAACAGAAACTCTTTGATTCAGCCGCGATTTGATACGAGGAAAACCTTATACTTACTAACATAAATAGAAATCACACAAAAAATAATGACAAAGAAAATAATAGGTACGTTATCTGTGTTTTTCGTAATGGGGTTGTCCTTTCAATTTTGATAGCGGAGCCCTACAAGCGGCATTCAGTTCGCATATGCTGATATTCCCAGAGCTGTGTCCCGTTGGTTGTGCTTATAACGAGCTGTCATACATTTGTGACAGCTGGGACGTTGACGACATCTATCTGAGGCTTTATCTCTTCCAACGGTATCGCCCTTTCGTTATATTTATTACGAGATTTTAATCTCTACTCACTAACTGTTGGTATAGGTAGGTTTGTAGGTGACCGAGTATGTATATAAATAAAAAACAATAATATTACATGTCCCTTCATGTATTGTAGTGAACATAACATTCGCCTACCGCCGTCTTTACGATTAATTTGGTTTATTGTAGGTATTTTCATCATCAAAGAGTTAGTCTTTTGACTTCTGACGCTGATTCTCGAAAAAAATTGGCTATTTTCGTACATAGGTACCAAATTAAATTGTTATATGTTGTAACTTTCACGTTTAGTACCTACACATTATGTAATTTTATGGTAATATCGTCAATGGTTTTGTTTTGTCCAGACACATACTTTTTAAGCCTAGGTGCATGCGGGTTATCTGATGGTCATTAAGCAGCCATACATACATGCAAAACAAGAATTGCAGGTGTGTTGCTAGCTTTTATGAAGTGAATTTATGGTCATTCCTTGTGTAGCATGAAAAGGTAGTTGATTCCATGTCACCTGCGGTGGCGGGTTAGCTAAGTAAAATCTGCAAATCTAAAAATCCCCTAAGGAGTCGAGAAAAGATGGTTACGTTCTAAAATTTCTAAAAATATGCATTCAGATACGAGTAATTATGAGTAGTTATTAGAGTTAGTTACGAATCCGAACGATCGTTTGTATTATTTAGACTTACATTACATTAAGTTTTAAATTTAATATATATACCAAACTAATATAGGAAGAGGTAGGAGAGAACGACACATGTTTCACTCCCATCTTCATGGCTATATGATCGCTCATTCTCCCCTTCCACGCATTCGAACAAAGCCTATTTTTCACAATTTTACTTGTAAAACTTCTAAGTTAAACTTGTTCGACTTTACCAATTGTTTGAAGTAAAACAATACAGAGACTTTATAAGATTTCGTGTTATTTATAAATGAAATTGCGCGTGCGAATAAACAGCCATGAACTTCTCTATTTGCTTTAAAACGATTTGACAGGCGTACGTATACATTTGCATTATGTCGTAGTCCGTTCATCGAGGCAGAAAACTTACAATTAATATTAAAACATGCGCAATAAAATAAAGCCAAGCAGTCGGAAAGTATTCACGTCAGTCGAGCAGTGCTTTTGACATGGCTATTATTTTAGTGCAAGTTTAAAAAGCCGTAACCAACCCAATATATTCATGCCACTTCCAGCTTTACTAAGGTAGATAATTAAGGTTATTACAGTTTGTCAGATAAAATAGGTAAGACTGAAAGATGTAGAAAATGTTCGTCAGAATCCGGATGATGAGCACAGCAATGTAAATGATATAGTTCCTGATATTGTTCTACAAAATGTATTTTCAACGGACTATAACTGTTTATTGCTAATAATAGTGTCAGTTTGTAGAATTAACAAATAGTTATTTGTTAACATAATTAAGTAAGTTAATTAGTTTACGACTAACCTAAAAACATTATTTATAGAATTAGGTACCTGGGAATAAGTTTTTTGATTCTTGAAAACTTAATAAATACATAGACACGTTTTCTTAGAAATATTTAAATAAAAAAATGTCATGTTAGACACACTATACTGTAATTATAAAATAGTGTGTAGTGTCTTTTGGAAACTTTAGTGAAAGCTGAATTATGGAATATAGGTTATTGGATTTAGATAAACCTCGAGCAAAAGCATTGGCAGTAGCTACTTTTCTATAAATTTGCATATTTGCATGCTCGGACATTACTCTTAGAAGGTCGGGTGCGGGTGTGGACGATGTTTTCTTATCGCCTCTCATTTTAGAGAGAGCAAAGGACCATTGAACAGTGGCCGTGGGGGCGCCATCCTGGTACGAGTACATACTCCAATTCCACTCATCATTTACGCCAGAGCAATCAAGTCGAGTGCACGTATCGTATGTAAATGCATTCCCGCCCCGAAGTGAGATTTCTAATGTAATTGACAGAGAAAATGAGATTGTTTCGACCACCTCTAGAGGCGATCGGTCCAAGGGTCTGTTCCCTACTATTTAAAACTCACGCGCGGGTGAATATGCTAATGTCATCGATTCTAAATTTTGCATGGCATATAAAT